GGGTTTAGGGTTTAGGGGGTTCATTTGGGTCTAGGAAGGTTTCGGGTGCTAAGGTTTTGGAGTCAAGGAGGCGGGGTTTAGGAAAAGGCTTCAGAATTTGGGGTTTAGTTTCCGCTTTTGATAAACCTTCCGATGGCAGTGTTGACAAGAAAGCCTCTTTCCCAACGGCCGTGCATATATTGTTCGTGTCCGCTGGATGACGATGCCTAAACCCTAAACCCCTAAANNCCCTAAACCCTAAAAGCCTAAAACCTAAACCGTAAACCCTAAACCTAAACCCTAAACCCCCAAACCCTAAACCCTAAACCCTAAAACCTAAACCCTACAGCCATGGATGCTTAAAAATGGCAACTAGTCTGGCTGGACTCCTCGTGGCTCCGAGATTCAGGGTTTAGGGTTTAGGGTTTAGGGATGCTTCCGTGAAAGCGCTGCTGGTTTGTATAGTCACAGACATGCTGAATCACAAACAGATAGACGGTAAGGAAAACCAACACGACTAAGGAATGAAAGAAATAAAGAAAGAAAGAAAGAAAGAAAGGAAGAGAGAATGAATGAATGCATTAATGAATGAAGTAATGAATGGATGGATGGATGAATGAATGAATGGACGGATGGATGAATGAATGATTGGGTGAATCAGTGAAACGATGAATCAGTGACTCAGTCAATCAGGGAGTCAGGAGTAAATAAATGAAGGAAGCCATACATGCGTACATACCTACGTAAACTACATAATAATTACTGACGACTAACCTGCCTCCCTCCCTGCCTGCCTGCCTACCTAGCTATATATACATACATACATACCTACATACCTACATACATACATACATACATACATACATACATACATACATACATACATACACACATACATACATGTTGCATGTTAGTATGACGAAGAAACATCATCATGACTGCCAGAATCATTAGTCATGATCATCATCAGTGCACCCGAATGGTCAAAGCTATCAACCCTACACGAAAAAACCGACAACAACCGCGAATTTACGTAACTACCCTTCCCATCCTGTACCATGAGGGCGTTGGCTCCTTCAAGACATTCTCAAGTGGCAAATTCTTCGGTGGCCATTATCCTGCTAAGCTTCGACGCGGGACCCTTCACACCAGGAGTGTCTCCAGGAATCAGCCTGAGTTCTGCTTGGGGTCTAGTATGGGGGCCTCACTCATTAGAACAGGGTCCGGGGTACCTTTTATCATACTTACCATAAGGAACGCCAAGATAGTGTTGGCAATTATATAAGCCCCTTTCCGTACAACCTCGAAGCTTCATTCTGTAGGGATAGGGTTTAGGTTTCACGTGTAGGAAAACTGGAGGCACCTGGAGTGCGTCTTCAGCTGTTCCACTGCGCCCGCACGGAAAGTGTCGCAAGCACAAATGAGGACCTCGCGCTTTTCAAGGCTCTCAGGATTACTGTATGAGCCTTAAAAAGATACAACAGGGATTTGAAAAGGGTTCCTGGAGACTTCTATGAATATGCGGGCCTTCAAAGTAGAATGGGGTTTAGTACATTATGATTTTCTAGTCAAAGGATAGATCGGGGACTATGCAAACACATCAATTACTACCTAGTTCTTCCGGCCCCTACATTATCATGTCTAAGCTATCCGAATTTTGCAAGTGAGCCGCAGGGTTTGGGAGTCCAGTGACTTGCACTCCTACAACTTCTACAGAACCCTTCGACGCCAATGTCATGCCTCGAAACGCATGCAGCACAAGCCGCCGCTAGACGCTAGGCTCTCCTTTCTCTTGTGATTAGCAACATCTTATGTCCAACACGTCCTCGCAAGCTGCATCACTACCACGAGTTTTCACGAAGGGGTGACAGCTTGGCCTTAAGGGGCTCCGGATCATCTGGCGCCAACATAGGGCCTTAATGATTAAACCCTAAACCCTAAACCCTAGTACTGCTCCATTACCAAGAATTACAATAGGGTTTGGGGTACAGTATGCCATGAGAACACCCAGGAGCCCTAAAGGATGCAGGCATTTCCGCCCCTGTGCTGCGTGGTTCAGCATCACGGTTCGGGATCCCAAGCTCTAAAAAACGAAGTGTGGCGCCAACTACCAAGCACCTACCTGTTCCAAAGTGATAGTACATCAACCCTACTTAAAGGCTCCAAGGACGCAATAAGTGGGGTTATCCTAAGTTTAACGTACTCACTAGGTCCCTTGTATACTAAATCTTGAACCCCGAAACCAAAAACCCAAAAACCCAAAACCCTAAACCAAAAGCCCAAAACCCTAAACCCTAAAGCCCATACCCTAAACAACGGCATGGTCACAGCACACTTCGGAGGACGGATGAGGGGATCAGGAGCTGGTGAACCCTTGCCATGCTAAGGCCCGACCTGCCAGCCCTCATATACGGGTGGGTTTAGGGCTTTTCGGGTTTAGGGGTTTAGGGGTTTAGGGGTTTAGGGCTTTTAGGGGTTGAGGGTTTAGGGTTTGGGATTTAGGGGTTTAGGGGTCTAGGGTTTAGGGTATATGAGTAGTTCTCTAAATTAGGGTCCCGTTTAGGGCTCTTTTTAAGGGTGCCGTACTATGTTTGGGACCCAAAAGCGACCCAATTTAGAGAACTGCCCATATACGGGTTTGAAGAACTACGGTTGATGGTATAAAGCCTGCATTGCCCATGATAAGGAATCTACCACAATTTCCATGGTTTAGGGTGCTTAAGGTAATGCAGGATTGACATCATCAACAGTATCAGTATCCCTTCATAGTTCTGATATGTTCCGAAATATCTATACTGCGAAAGGCACCCAACAAACTAAGTTCTAGGTATTGCAGCTCCGTTTCTTCTCGAAATCTTAGAAACCTTATAGAACCCTTTAAACGAACCCCTTGACCCCTGTTCAAACTCTTCGGATGAGTCTTGAAGATGCCAAGTTTAGGGTTCGGGGGTTGAGTATTTAGGATCTGGCGCTTAGGCTTTAGGTGGGTAACATAGGAGCCTCAATAATTAGAATCAGGTTTTGGGCCCATTATACTACATAGAATGATAATAAGGAACCCCTCAAGATAGTATTGGTAGTTATTTAGGTTAAGGCTCAGGGTTTCAGGTTTGGGGGTTTTAGACTTCTTAGGATTCAGGGCGCATGCTGGGAACGCAGCGTTGAGTCCACCTTTGTGCTTCAAATAATACGCAACCTCGGCAGGAAGGGCGGCGATCTTGATTGAGAAGTTCCAAGCTATCACAGCAACAACTTCAAATCAAAACTTCCCTAAGGCCTTATATAGACTGAAAACCCTGACAGCAAAATCCTAACCCGGCTGAAGGCCTATATGGGAGGATATGGATCTCAGGTAAAGCTTTGTTTTTTTGAAGATAGGTATATATAGAGGTCTAAGCAACGAAACCCTATAAGTCTTGAAGCCATGCAAAGCCCTGTAGACTAGAGCCTTCGAGAAGCGCTTCTACCAAAGGTTTCGACGAGAAATCTCAGGTTCACGGTTTGGGTCACATCCGCTGCGGGGTTTTGCTGAGTCTTCACGTGCTCTACTGGGGTTTTTGGTTTCTGGTGGCCTCATATTCAACTTCTGGACATTGGATGAAAGACCCCAGTCCTAGAACCCCAACCAACCACTAGGGTCTAGGGTTTAGGGGTTT